GGACCATATGCTTTGTGGCCAGCCGTTTTGCACTCCAGCAAGTAATAGAATTATCCGTCGGCTCATCGATCATGTCGACCACTGTTAACAAGCCGTGTTCCCTTTCCATCCTCGGCGTTGTAGTATCCGTAGAAAGGCACCAACCCAGGCAGAGTCAGTCTAAAAGCACCCGTCATGTCCCTAAGTGCCCGCACCCTGTGAACTTAGACTCGTATTGGCACCTTTTACGACTTGAAATTGACAGTGTGGATATTCCAATATATTCTCTTTAATGTTTCAAACTTCGGGTAACTTCAAAATTGATATCACCTCCCTATATGGCCAGGTGTAGGGTTATAGATGAACACCCCATACGTGCATTTCGCGCTCGTTTCAATGATCCATCGGCGTTCGGATTCGTGGATGAAAATTGCCCATTAGAAGTCATATGATACAGGTATGTGCACCCTCCTGAACTCGCGCAACAAATTTGGGTCGTGGGGAGGAGACGGCAAACTTGTGTTTTACACTATAAACATCCGCATAAGCTTTGACATATATCCGGAATATTTTGTACCTTTTACCCCCTCAAGATTTAACTCAGAAGACTAGACGTTTAACAATAAAACGTTGACAACTCAGTCTGGTTGCCTGGCGCCAGAATCCGGTCAGTCTTGGAAAGTGTACGGGGCAGCGAAGCGTGGCACATCGGCGCATTACACGTGGGTGCCTCCGACGAAAACAAAGTTGCATGCGTCGTGTGGGGAACGTGGACGATAAGGGACAGCATCTACAATGGCGTACCCAATGTTGTGCAATCACAAAAACAAGACTAGCCAACGATCGACGGTGGCGCGTGGTTGCAGCACGTCGAGTCGCGCCGGGCTGCACACGAGAACACCACACAACATACGATGGCCTTACGAAGGCGGAACCATGTCGTAGCCAAAGCGTCACAAGAGGGGGGAACTCGTTGCCTCAGCGGATCAGAGGCCATGGGATGCATCAGATGGCCCAAAATCGTTTTGAATACAATTTTCAAGTGAATACAATTCCATGGCCAAATATTAATCTGATGCGGAGGTCACCACCAAACATTTTTTGCCGTTTTCAAATAATTGTTCAATTTCTTTAGATAAATCAATACAATTAAATAAACTCACTGAAATGCCGCGAGGTTTGCCCCCATGGCAGAGGGCGAATCTGCTGCAGATTCCCGAACGTTGGGACATCTGGTCCAGTGCCTACAACTAACAAATAGTGATTATTTCACGGCCTTTTATTAGTCAACCTGGGCAGTCAACGTGGAGTACAATCCTACACGTTTTGTGAATTCGACATCGCTTTCCGTCACCGGACAACCGGCAACTTCAGCTGGGTGGGATCAGAGTCTTAGCGGGGAACGACAGTATACTGAACCCCAGCTTATTTTGTTGGCATACAATACCCAAGAGAATTTCCCAGAATTCTCATTTTTGAATTACCCCTGTCGCACGGATCTTCCAGCACCGTTGAGACTGAGGATGGCATCGGCAAGGTCACCACCGCAGTTAGGCGAAGGGACCGCAAGCAGCCATGGCGATGAATCGGACAGCTCGAGGGAAGGCTCGATTGCCCCAAAGCACGCGAAGAAGTCGAGCCACAGCGACCTTACAGCCGCTGCAGTCGCTTCCGAATGCCTGCACACCAGCGATGTTCATGATGACCAAGCGGCTCACACCGGATACCGCGGGAGGTGCTTGTACAAGACTGGCAAGTGCGAGAACGAGCGCGCATTGAAGACGAATGGACAAGCTCACAACTTGTGTGACATGCATCGATTCCGACAAAACCAGAACCAGCGCAAACTCGACGGGAAGAACCGACACAACCGCACGGCGTACTCGCCGTACGATCGGAATTCTGTCAAAGGCGATTCCCCGGCACACACTCTGTTAACGGGCACCGACGCGTCGGTGGACCCCGTCAAACACGAACCATTGAAAATGCACTGTTCACGATCGACGGAAGCCAGCTACACTGCATCAAAGTCGACAATTGAACTGCCGCCCCGTACGTCGAATCGGCATTACTTGCCGCCTCCTCCACTGCAATCCATGACGCATCCTCCGTCTCCTTCCATGCAGTACTCGGCTTCATTCCCCACATCCAGCCTCTCGACATCGTCGGCATTTCCGTCGCTACCTCACATGCGGCGGTCGACTTCGCAAACACTCCATACGCCCCCACAGCAACCAGCGTCGCAGCCAGTCAAGTCCGAAACATTCACTGACGATATCACAGTGCCTACCCCGTCCTATTTGAAGGGCGAAGCACGGGAAGCGTTCCGGTCCCGAGTTCTGCAGAAGCTTGTCAACATCATTTCAGAAGAAGTGATGACGACAACCCAGCAGAACCACCAGCAACTGCCACCTCCCCAACAGGCCTACGAGATGGCGCCTCCCCAGCAGTACCAGCACCACCACGAGTATTCCGCTTCGTATGGCTACCCCTCCTCGCAAACGTACGGGAGTGCCCCAGCCCAGCTGCCGCACTACCCTGCCCCTTCGACCTACCACCCCAATGTATCGCCACCTCGCGCACCCGAGTACGACGATGACCAGTCCAACTCGTTCTATCAGCACCAATCGCGCATGCCGCCAAGGTTCCTACCCCATGAAGCAAGTGCTTCTTTGCCGAAGTTGTTTCCAGTGGCGATGCCAACCTCGTCGTCTCCGTCCCTGCCGTCGCTGTTGCGCGCTCCACCGAAAGAGTCTGTGTCGCCCAACAGTCGAAGCTATTTAATTTAACTCTTGCGACACTGTTCAACTCGATCGTCGTCACGCTGCATTCTGCTGCCGACTCCCAGGAAAACACAAGCCGATTGCCGCGTACGCATGACGCGCGGCTTTGCCTGAGAGCAAGGCTGCCGCTCCGCCCGCTCTGCGTGTGCTGGTCAGTCATCCCGACGGTCGTGTGTGCCGTCGTACCGGTTGTCCAGCTCGATCTTGAAGTTCAATGTGTTTTAAATATTAGCCAGTCAGAGACATTTGACGGAAATATTTGAACCAATCAAACATTTAGAACGTCGCCACCTCGTGGGGGGGCTAACAAGTCAGTCCAAGCTGCGTTGTCCATGATGAGAGCTACTTCACATGTCCTGCTCCGAACTGCGCTCTTTCCAACTTGGGGTCGTTTTCTAACAGCATGATGCATCGCGGGACCTGACAATCTGCCAGCAACCAGGCGGTTGTTGAGATGGGTGCTAACATCAGCTTTGCATGGCGGTGTGGCAGTTACCAAACGTTTTGAAACCGTTCGACACATTCCAGTGCCGCCGCCGGTTCATTACGACGATGACATCCAAGTCGAATGGAACGGGACCACCCGTGGTCCCGAGGAGGTCGGTGGGAACGCTGGCTCCGGTTACACGAGGCCACTCGATCACAAAGATCAGCGCAAAAGCACCAGGGCCGAGCGTGACTGCCGTCGGCAACGTTTGCCACATGATCGAAAAGGCGTCGGCCAGACCGCCGACTACGACGGATGTCGCACCAGACGACATCAGGGGCAATCCAGATGACGTCACATCCTCAGTCGCAGAGACGGATGATGTCGTGCACCCGATCGACGACCATGCATCGCAAACTGCTACCACGTCGACAAAATCATCATCCAAACGCCGACTCACGGCGACGTCGCCGCGGGTCGTGGACCTCACACAAATTCTGGCAGCGCCCATAAACCATGGAGATGAAGCGACTCAAGGTCCGTTTATGTCGATCCTACAAGGCGAGTCGGACCACGCCAGCACACAAAGCTCATTCACTCCATCGACAAGCCCAGGCGTCCAAGTCAATTCTCCAATGACAAGTATGCTACATAAAGCATCGATGGCAACCAGCGGCAGTGGTTCCTTGCACGGATCCAAGGGACGAGGCCTGCTCCAGCTTGTTGTCTCGAAATCTGGGCTGATAACGTCCCCAGCGTCCACGAGCCCGGCTGCTCAAGACACGTCATCGGCAAGTGCGCTGCTCGTTCAGGCGTCCTCGGGTGGAAGTGGCGCGTTGAGAAGAACGTCGTCGAAACTGCTACTCCAACGCTCCCCCTCCGTGACTGCGCTGCTCACACAACAGAAAGGCAGCTCGAAACGCCTAGTGGTCGCCGTCGGAAAAGTGCTTCAGCACATTACCCAAGACAGCACCCGGCCGTCGTTTGTGGGAGGTGCCGCGGCCGTAGCGCGGACAGGTGAGATTCGCCTGGAATGCGTTGGATTCCCGGTGTCACCGCAGCGTAGCGGCGGGTCTGACGAAGCGGTTGTCGCTCTTGCGTGCAGATACGAACGTGAACGCAGAGGAGCTCGAGCACGAGCTCAATGACATGGCGGCGTCCCAAATGTCACTGATCGCGCGACGCCACCGAGCGCCATGTACGTGTGCTTCCGTCGATCGCGTCGACTTATCATGCATGTGGGATGACCGTAGTCTACATGTCGATCCACTCCCGCTTCAAGAGGTGGTGGGATGCGCTGCTGGCCGTCGTTACATTTTACGCAGTTGTTGTTGTCCCGATGGACTTGAGTTTCAATTTGTGGGACTCGTTTCCATGGGTGCACGCTGTGCAAGCGTTGGTCGAGTTTGTCTTCATCTTGGACATCGTGGTTGCCTTTCGCACGTCCTTCCTCATCAGCGCTACCCACGAAGAAGTGACGGACGTCGCGCTCATACGGCGCCACTACTTGACGCTGTGGTTCTGGGTCGACTGCCTCGGGTCGATCCCGTCGTCCGTCCTCGGGTGCCGCTTTCGCCATTCGGATTTTGCCATCGTCCGCCTCTTTGTGTTCCTACGGGTACGCCGCCGACCCTGACACAATCTCGCCATTCCTTGCATGCACCGATCCTGATGCGTTAGATTCTCCGGTTGTCGTCGTCCCCAACGTTTCCCAACGCGATGGCGTGGGCATCGCACAAGTTTTCGTCGTCTGGCGTTCGCCTGGCCACCCTCCTGGCCATGTACTTGCTTCTGCACCACTACATTGCGTGTTCGTACTACCTCTTGGTTCAATTCGAGAACGGCGCGGACAATGCCGACGGGATGGTGACGTGGTACGAGCCGCTGTCTCGTTTGGGAATGCTCCTCCTGATCGAGCCATCACGGCATGCAGGCGTGTGCCATTTGCTGCAAACGACACCCTTGGCGTCAAGTACTTGGGGTCGTACTTCCGCGGCCTCGTTGTTACGAGTGGGAGCGACCTCGGGCCGTCGACGAGCCTCGAGCGGCTGTGGGGCACGACCATGTTCACCATTGGCATCATCGCCAACGCTTGGTACGCGAGATGTCAGCGCTGATGGCCGTCGATTGCGCTGTCACATTTGCCTGTACCCGTAGCGTCGCCGGGATTTGCAAGAGCATGCTTACGCAAATGAACAAAGTCCAGGACGAACAGGTCCATCGCCAAGACAGCATCGAACTATGTCTGCGCAATTGCCACGCGACCAGCGACCTCACGTCCAAGATCAACTCGTTCTACAGCACAGCCTACAGCCACGAAAGCGCGCATCACGCGTCCGACTTATTTCACGGGATGCCGGAGAAGCTCCACTTTGAGCTGTCTGTGGCTCTGAACCAGTCGTTCCTGAACAAGGTGCCGCTCTTTCGCGCGCTCGAGCCGGAGGGAATCGTGGCGGTGATGGAATGTGTCGAAGAGACAGTCGCGATGCCTGGCGACATGATTATTCGTGCTGGCGAACCGGTACCTACCGCATCCTCTGGACGTCCGAGTTGACGGCGCGTAGGGACGCGCGTTCTACATGATCAAGATGGGTAGCGTCGAGGTGTACGACAACTTGGGGCCCAAGGGGACTCGTGTTTCGATCAAGCACATGCATGCGGGCGAGTTCTTTGGCGAAATGAGCTTGATTCGGCAAGGCACGGCATCTGCCAACGTGATCGCGACGTCGTTCTGTGTGCTGCTCGTGCTGTACAAAGAGATTTTCGACTGGATTACGATGGAAAACGAACACTTGAAGTCATTCATGGAGAGGTCGCAAGAACGGCGGTCCAGTGAAGCTACAGCAGCCCGACGGGTACGCAAATTGGTGCTGACGTGTCCGCCTCGATCACCACCATGTAGAGGTCGTACGTGGCGACTGCGGAGGACGTGGCAAAGGCCTCACAAGGGACGAACAAGCGGAGAAGCACGTTTTTGCCCAAGCGGTTGCAGGCCATGGTTGCACGAATCCGACTGCGCCGCGCCGCGCGGTGGGTCATGATGGTCAAGCGGATAGGAGGAGGCATGGAGAATTCCATCGAGAGCACTTCGAGGCTTGGGGCAACTGCCAATATGCTGCGTGATTTTGGCAAGACCGACAGCAGACCACAAGCTCACATGAGTATGGGTCTCGCTGCCAAGATGCGAACGCTGATGCACGCCAACCGGGGTCGAAGTACTGCGACGCGCGCACTTCGTGCTGTCGCCGAGATGTCCCAGTACACGGCCAAGGAAATGGTCGAGTCTACGCGAATCAAGGTGCAGCACATGTAAGAACATCGTCGATTCCACGCGAATCAAGGGGGCGGCGCATGGCACCACTCGTGAGTACTTCCACCGGCAGCATGATGAAGTCCGCGTCGTGCGTGAGAATTGCTGCCACCTTGAATGCTATTGGTGGAGCAAGGATGCGCTAAACGATTTGATTGGATCATTTCGGTCCAAAAACCAAGTGATTTGAACAAGAAATTTTCTAGCGCTGCCAGCCCACACGATGAGGAGAGGTGGTGTGCGGATCTGGCGACTCGCGCCGCAGAGGTTCCCCACGACGCACTGACCGCCGTGCAACCTCACGACAAAACCAAGCATTCGCTCGATGGTGGTTGCATGTTTAAGATCGACCGTACTGTCGAAGTCGCGGGCAGCTCGTTGGAGCCCAACGCCGTCTCGACTTGTCCAATAAAGTGCACAGCAGCGCTAAATGCTCGCATATACACCATGGAGTGAGGACGGAGTGAACATACATATACTCAAGCACCGTTCGAAGCCCTAGTGGGTCCATTCTCCACGATCCCGCCATCGCCGCCCGCTGTAAACCACCACGTTCATTACAGCGTGTTGACAAAGGTTTGCGCAAATTGATTGGCCAATATTCACTTTGCCCGCAGATCTAATTGGCCTATATTGTATCGATCCGCCGATCGGGTTGGCCAATACACTTTCCATCTGCGGATCTGATTGGCCAACGGGATTAAGCTGTTTCAATCCAAGGATGTGGCTGACTTCACTTTAGCTTTTCGAGTGAAATTGCCATGTTGTCCCGCAGCCTTCCCCGGTCATCCGTGCTCTTCCGCGGCCAAGTCGCCCGTCTGTCATCGGCAGCCGGTGTGCGTGTGGAAACCGATTCCCTCGGCAAGGTGGAAGTGGATGCGTCCAAGTACTGGGGCGCCCAGACCCAGCGCTCCCTGGAAAACTTTCCCATTGGCGGCAACCGCGAACGTATGCCGATGCCTGTGATCAAAGCGATGGGGATCGTGAAGAAGTGCGCTGCCAAGTACAACTTGAAATTGGGCAAGTTGGACAAGGCGATTGCCGAAAACATCATCAAAGCCGCCGACGATGTCATCAACGGCAAATTGGACGACCACTTCCCCTTGGTATGTGATGCAATGCCTGCCAGTCGCTGTCTTCCCTCCATCGGATTGCCCTTTTCATGCGTGCTGTAGGTCGTGTTCCAAACTGGGTCGGGTACCCAATCGAACATGAACACAAACGAAGTCATCTCGAACCGCGCGATTGAATTCATGGGAGGTGAACTGGGCTCCAAGACTCCCGTGCACCCGAATGACCACGTGAACATGGGTCAATCGTCCAACGACTCGTTCCCGACTGCCATGCATATTGCGGCCGTGATGGAAATTCACCGCGTGCTCTTGCCTGGCCTCCGCAAGTTGCATGCCGCCCTCGACGCCAAGGTTGCGGAATTCGATGGCATCATCAAGATTGGCCGAACGCACACGCAAGACGCGACGCCCATGACGCTCGGCCAAGAATTCTCTGGCTACCGCGAACAAATCGCATACTCAATCCAGCGCGTTGAAGCTGTTCTCCCCAACTTGTACAAGTTGGCGTTGGGCGGGACTGCCGTCGGCACGGGCCTCAACACGACCAAGGGGTACGACAAGGAAATTGCTGCCATCATCGCCGAAGAAACCAAGTTCCCTTTTGTTACGGCGCCTAATAAGTTTGAAGCGCTCGCCGCGAACGACGCGATTGTCGAAGCTTCTGGCGCGCTGAACACGATCGCGTGCTCGTTGATGAAGATTGCGAACGACATCCGCTTCCTCGGCAGTGGCCCCCGCAGCGGGCTCGGCGAGTTGAACCTCCCCGCGAACGAACCTGGCTCGTCCATCATGCCCGGCAAGGTTAACCCGACCCAATGCGAAGCCATCACGATGGTGTGCGCTCAAGTGATCGGGAACCATGTCGCCGTCACCGTCGGCGGCTCGAACGGCCACTTTGAACTGAACGTTTTCAAGCCCGTCATGATCTCCAACTTGATCTCGTCGATTCGATTGATCGGGGACAGCGCCGTAGCGTTCACGGACAACTGCGTCGTCGGTATCGAAGCGAACCGGGACACGATCGACCGCCTCATGAAGAACTCGCTCATGTTGGTGACCGCCCTCAACCCTCACATCGGTTACGACAAGGCGTCCAAGGCCGCCAAGAAGGCGCACACCGAAGGCACGACCCTCAAGGAAGCTGTCTTGTCGCTCGGGTACTTGACGTCGGAAGAATTCGACCGCTACGTTCGCCCCGAAGACATGATCGGCCCCAAGTAAGGTTGCAGTGGATCGTCAGATGTAGAAAACAAACATGGCTGGTTGCCTTCTCTGTTGACATGTTGTTTGTCCATGCTTCGACCTCATGATGATATGACAGGATCGTACATGAACGCGGCATGGACGAAGGAAAACTCGTCGTTCGAGGACTTCACACCGCCATCGTCGCCGCCGCAACAATACTGGAGCAAAGCATCCCATATCAGATGGCGCGCAATGCAACTTCAATGCCCCAGGCGTTTAAAACAGTTTACAATCCGTAGGAGACGTCTGAATCAAGAGAATACCTTCGTAAATGAATATTTCGTCGTATCATGATTCTAAGGTACAGCGCGTGCAGTACTGTACTGTGGTGGGAAAATTACTTGAATGACATGTCAATGGATGGTTCCATGGGAAAGGCTCCTCACCCCTTGACGGGTGGAGGATCACGCGCTGTTGTTGAGGTGGTTTGTAGAGCCGTCGGCGTGCTTTCAACATGATGAGCGGTCAGTTTGGCTCGCGTTCCGAACGCCGTCAACTTAAAGATCGGTTGTTTTGTAAACAGTGTTAAGTCAACGGTTTCGAGAGATGGATTGCCCCACAAATTGTCCATTTCGAATTCCGTCGCGCTTCCGCCACCACGATCATGGCCGTGCGATACGCGTTGCGCAGGGGCGAACACGTCCGTGGCAGCACCCGCCGCTTCGTCAGCACCTTTAGCGGCAACTGCTTGAGCTTGGAGACGAGGTCGAACGGTGTCGCGATTGTCCGTCTCGACGACAAAGAGTCCAAGGTCAACACGTTGAATGCCGCGATGACCAAGGAACTCGTGACAGTTCTAGAAAAGGTCGAATCGGACGCCGACATTAAGTCGGTCGTGCTCATTTCCAACAAGCCAGGTTGCTTTATTGCCGGCGCCGACATTGCGCAGCTCCAGGCGGCCACGTCGGAAGCCGAGATCAAGAAATTGTCGTCGGAAGGTCAAGTGTACATGAAACGCATTGAAAACTCCAAGAAGCCGTTTGTCGCGGCCATTGACGGTTCCTGCTTGGGTGGAGGATTGGAAGTCGCCCTCGCGTGCCATTACCGTGTCGCGTCGTCGGGCAAGAAGACGCAATTGGCGTTGCCCGAAGTGATGCTCGGCCTGCTTCCCGGGGCTGGGGGCACTCAACGTCTCCCCAAGTTGGTGGGGCTGCAAGCTTCTTTGGACATGATGCTCACAGGCAAGAACATCAAACCGGACAAGGCGTTGAAGATGGGTCTCGTCGACCAGGTGGCGGATCCGTTCGCCCTCGAAAACGCTGCGATCGATGCCGCAGAAGACCTCGCGTCCGGCAAGATGAAGAAGAAGACGAAACCCAAGGGCTTGGTCAACAAAATCTTGGAAGACACTCCGCTGCGCAGCATTGTGTTTCAAAAGGCAGGCGACATGGTTGCCAAAAAGACTGGTGGTCATTACCCTGCGCCAAAACTGATCTTGGAAGCAGTGCAAGCGGGGTATTCGGGCAAGGGATATGACGTTGAATCGACCAACTTTGCCAAGTTGAGCCAGACTCCGGAGGCCAAGGCTTTGATGAGCATCTTCTTTGGGCAAACGCAGCTCAAGAAGAACCGGTACGGGAAACCGACCAAGCCCGTCAAGACGATGGCGGTCATCGGTGCTGGGCTCATGGGAGCTGGGATTGCTCAAGTGTCGGCGTCCAAAGGCATCCGCGTGCTGTTGAAGGACCGCGACGCCGCCAGCGCTGCCAAGGTAGGCGACATCGGTCCAGGCGATGAATCCAATAGTCTCATGCAACGATCGGTTCCAGGGCGAAGAGTACGTTCGAAAGAACTTGGACGACCGCGTGAAGAAGCGCCGCATGACTGGGTACGACCGCGACGTGATCATGTCGAACGTAGTGCCGTTAAGCGACCAAGATGATGGTACGACGAGATGTAGTTTGCAGTCGATCCATGGCTAATGGATGGATGGATTCAGTCTGGAAAAAGCATTTGAACCAAGCCGATCTGGTCATCGAAGCTGTGTTCGAGGACATGGCGCTCAAGCACAAGGTAATTCAAGGCCTCGAGCCGCATGTGTCTTCGGAATGTATCATCGCGACCAACACGTCGGCGCTGAGTGTTGCGGAAATCGCCAAAGTACGTCGTTTTTTGTTTGGTTTCTGGTCTGTTGTGGCTCAAGGACGATGGCTATTGCAGGCCAGCAAGCGGCCTGAAAACGTGATTGGAATGCACTACTTTTCCCCGGTGCCCAGCATGCCGCTGCTGGAAATTATTCGACACCCCGGCACGTCGGACGATGTCGCCGCGCGCGCCGTCGACGTCGGTCTGCGCCAAGGCAAAACTTGTATTGTCGTCAAGGACGTTCCTGGGTTTTATGTGAACCGGTGCGTCCTCTGGAGTGAAACCTGGATCCTGAATGGATCTCGTGGGGCGTAGGTGCTTGGGGCCATACATTGCAGAAACGTTGGCATTGGTGGAATCGGGAGTTGACATGGAGCGTTTGGACAAGCTTATCACCAAGTGGGGCCTTCCCGTGGGTCCGATCACGCTGGCAGACGAAGTGGGTGTCGATGTGGCGGCGCACGTCAACCACACGTTGTCGGCAGCGCTCGGTGTGCGCATGAAGGGCGGCAACCCTGCGGTGTTTCAAGACTTGATTGCTGCCGGGTTGTTGGGCAAGAAGACTGGCAAGGGCTTTTACGTCCAGCCGACGGACAAGAAGGGAAAAAAGTCGATCAACCCGGCCGCCGTCGACATTGTGAAAAAGTACCAGGCCCACGATCTCAAGTTGTCGGACGAAGACGCGACGAACCGCCTCATCTCGCGCTTTGTGAACGAAGCGATTCTGTGCGTCCAGGACGATATCATTGCGAGCCCGACCGAAGGCGACATTGGCGCCGTGTTTGGCATTGGGTTTCCGCCATTCCTCGGCGGTCCGTTTCGCTATGTCGACCGCATCGGGAGCCAAAAATTTAACGACCAACTGCTGCGGTTTGCCGACAAGTATGGCGATCAATTCGCGCCGGCGCCGCTGCTGCAAGACCTTGCCAAAACCAACAAGACGTTCCATTAAGCTCGAGATGGCCACAGCCTCAGTGACAAAACAATATTCTTTCGCGTGGTCTGCTGCGTGCAAAAGCTGGCTGCGTCGCAACACTAGGGCTCTAGACATGGCGACTACGTGCCGAGGAGGGTGCGATGCATGAAGACGCTGTGCCTCGCCTCGTCGTGGTGTTGAAAGGGACGAGAGGCCATTATCGTGGTGAACGATGCCACATCACACGCTATCAAGAAACTAGATGCTCCAAACCTGTTGTAGCATGTCGGTGGAAACGAGAGAGATCGGTAGCTGCTCGCTGCTGCATGCAGCGATGGAAGCATGTGCGGCGGCGACGGACACCGTGGATGGCCATAAGCGACGTTGGAACGGATGGTTGAGATTGCATCTTTATGGGCCCAACTACCGTCGCTGGATGGACAACGCGTGGTGGGCCACGGCTCGACAAGCGCATGAGGTTTTACGCCGCCGACTGCTTTAGCTTTTTCATGTGGAGCTTCTCGAGCTCCTTCATGGTCGCATCTTCTTTTTGCTGGTTGATGCGGCGCAACTCCTCGACGCGCTTCATCTTTTCATCGAGGTCCGTGAGCTGCTCACGTCGGTCGTCAGAGAAAGAGATAACACAGCCACGTACGGGTTGCGTGGCTTGGTTGAGCTTATCGTCCGCCGCTTCGATCAATTCCTACCACATCCGCATGACCTGGCTGCCACGACCGTCGATTGCAGCGGATGCCGTCACCACCGACTGCCACGTGAACCATGCGGCCATGCCACGAACCTGCTTCATGCGGCGGGCTAGCGCGATCCGCAGCGCCTTGCGCCGCTCCTCCGCTTCGGATTCCTTGGCTTCTTGTGGCGCCGGGCCTTCCTGCATGCGCTCGAGGATGTTTGGCGGCTAACCACGGTGACCGCCACGTCAGGAAGTTGCCTCATGCACCGAGCGAGACGTACCGGTTCGGGTGCCGACGCCTTGAGCTCCTTTTGGTACGACTCGAGCTTGGAATCGCGCTCCTTCTTTTTCTTTTCCAGAATGCGGTCGCGCTGCGCCTTTAGATACGCCGCGCGCTTGCGGATTTCAAAGTCTGAGATCTCGGCTTGTTCCTGGAATTCCTTGTGTTTTTCCTTTTTGTTTTCGAGGACTTCCTTGTGGCGCTTGACGACTTCTTCGGCCTGCGCCTTGCCGCGGCGCACGGCCTGCTCGGCCGCTTCGAGGTCCACAAGACCTGTCTTGCCATGGCCCGCCTTGTCTTCTGCCGCCTTGAGCTGGACGGACGCGAGGCGGACTCTACTCGTAGAACGTTGCAGCGACGGCGCGTGCGACGAGCATGAACAACCTACCGCTCTTCTTCGACGGCAATGGACAGTGCAATGGCGGCCTCGAGCTCTGCTTGCTCCATTTCTTCTTGTTTGTACAGGATATCCATCTCCATCCAGTAGTCCTCGACGAACGAAAAGTCCTCTTCCGCCACGAACTCTTGACGGGCGGCGTCCTCGGCAGCCTTGGCTTCCTCCTCAGCTAGTTTCGCCTCAGCCTCCAAGGCAGACTTGGCCGCCGCATTCTGACGCTCGTCTCGCACTGCCGTGATCACTTCGAGCTCGAGTTCCAGGTTCCGCTTCACCTGCACGAGGGCGTCAACCAAGTGAATGAAAGAAACGACGCATTACCATGAGTTTCTTGAACGTGAGAAAGTCGTCGATCGCGAGGATCTGGTTGATAACAGCCATGCTGATTTCGGTCGAGTGGCGGCACCGAGCGCAAATGTCGGCAAAGTCGGACGGAGTGATCCCGATCTCGGCCAAGTTGGCCGTGAGCACACCGTCCACTGCACACGCATCGTGAACGCCGCCATTTCGATGCATGGTCATGCGAAGGACGTACCTGTGTCGCGGAACTGACCGTGCAGGTCCGAGTAGATGAACTTGTTTTCGTCGTCCGTGTCAAAGCTGGCGCAGTTTTCGTCGATGAAGCTCATGATCGGGACTTCCCACGCGGGCGACTGGAACAGATTCATCACGAAGTCGAATACCCATTCGCTATCGACTTGCGCTAGCTCGGCCATCTCGGTCACGTCGGTGTCGTCGGTAGGCCGGCGCCCCCTCACGCGAAAAATGAACAGTCGTTGACAGATACAAATCCAAATCTACACTAATTCATGTGGGCCTTGAATAGTGTCAATGTCGGTTGCAGCCAGGGTGCCACCCCAGCGGACAGGTCCAAGGGGTCAGCAGTATAAGTGGCAAGCGCTGTGATGGAGATGCCCTCTGTTTGTTGCTCAGGACAGCGCGACTGTGCGGCTTGTGGCCTCGGAGTCCAATCTCATGACAGGTCCTTGATGCTGGCAATTACGTCTTCGTATTATGTCAAAAAGTCCAAAAATTGTGCAATTTTTATCAAAATTTCGTTCGAATTTTCTCATCATGGTAGTCGTCTGGTGCAGAGGTGTAGCATGCATGCCGTGCAGGAACGAGAACGGTCGACGGCAGCTACAGCATGTCCTAGAGCCCAGTGTAGATGCAGTGGCGCTGCGCTGACCGGCGATCCCGGCCGTCGGGACGACACAATGTTGCAATGCATGACTTGGAGAACGAGCCAATCAGGGCGTGTATCGTCATTGGTTCAATGCCCCAATCACCATTTCACCATTCGAGCGGCGGCGGCGGGATGTGGCAAGTGTACGCGGGCGCCGTGGTCGCGGCCTTTATCTCGATCGCGGTGTTTATGATCTACTTTGAGGAAAAGAAGCTCTTTGTCAACTTCGCGCACGGCAAGATTCTCCTGTTTGGGCTGTTCTGGGTCATCGTGAGCTGGATCGAGTTCATGCTCATCTTACCGCTCAAGTTCGTCGTCGCGCCCAACGAACTCCACATCGTAGCGCATGAAACGTGCATGGTCGTCGCGCGCACCTTGCACGTGCTCTTCTTCGGCCCAGTTGTCGTCGAGGGCCGCATGAATGTGAACCCTGACAAAGTGTACGTTGAACATCCACACGACCCCTTGGCCGAATTTGTGATCTTATGATGTATGCCGCCGCAGGTACATGATCGTCGCCAACCACCAGGTACACGCGCTGATGCATGCGTTTCCTCGACTCCCTTTTTCATCGTGTGTGGTTCGATGTAGACCATGATGGACATTACGTCGTTGTACTTTTTGGGCGGCAACTTTTCGTGGGTGTCCAAGAGCATTATCTTTCTCGTACGACAAATGCTCCCATCGCGATGTCCCCGACGCATCGCAATGCCTAGATTCCTGGCGCCGGGTGGCTCATGAAGCTTGCCAACTACGTCCCATTGACGCGCAAGAACAAAACGAGCGTCCTGCGCATGTTTGAGCTCGCCAAAGACCGGTTTGCGCACGGGTGGAGTGTCGTCGTGTTTCCTCAGGTCTGGTCGGCCTCGATCCTCCGACTGTTTGTGACCGTACGATCTTCTAGGGCACGCGTCGGCGCACCGAGTTCCTCCCATTCAAAGATGGCGCGTTCGACCTGGCAGTCGACGCCAACGTCGAGATCCTGCCCGTGACGATCATTATCCCGGACGACCTATGGACGTGGAACCGCCTCGGCAAGGTAAAGCTCGTGATTGGCAAGCCGATTGCTGTCGGCAACGCGACCAAGGACGAGCTCAAGCAGAAAGCGTACGACGTCGTGCTGAGCAACCTGCCCAAGCAGAAGTAGCGGCAGGCGTGACGCGCCATGGACGGAGCCCCGCGCCGCACCAACGCTGCGCGCCATCCGTCGGCATAAAGTGTTGGAAATATATTGGTGTGTAGACGACGAGCGGTCTCCCGCGACCAACGTATGGCCCGACTCATGCGTACGACACAGAGGTCGAGAACGTCGAGTGCGTCAGCAACTCGGGGTGAAATTGGCGCCTGCGACCACACATTACATCGACGTCGCACCATCCTGTGTGGGTCATCCAATGCCTTACCACGCATCCACGATGAGCAAGTACTCTTCCGAGTTGGAAATGTGCAGCGCGACCGGGTCCTGCACATTCGCAGCGACAGATCAACTCGGCGTCCAACCCGCGGCGGAAGCGCGACAGACGGCCGACGTACCTCGGCAAAGCAGACAAAAATCGTCGCCACGATCGAGTCGAGAATCGAACTCACGACTGCGCACATGGCATACCCCATGGCACCGCACGCGACGAACGCAGTGATCATCACGCTAAACGTGTCTACGTACCACGAGAATTTTCAAGCGAACGGACCAACAGATGCATTGCCAAACCACATTGCGCCGGCGCATGCGACGCTCCTTCCACGTCGGAGCACGCCATCGCCACGTAGAGGTACCCGACGCCGACCACGCCCGCCACCGCGCCTTCGCATGCAGTCAGCCCACATCGGTCAAAACGGCGCTGACGTATCACATACCGACGACAAGGCACCCCATCGAGAGCACCATCGAGACCAAGCTCTCTTGAACGACACCTGTCCACCCCCTACGACCAAGCGTGAGCATATGCCGACAACGCCCGCCCACGACGATCGGAAGCGACGTCGTACTTTTCTCGAAACAACTGGAGCGTGTCGTTGCCCGCCGTTCGAAAGTCTTTGCCGTAGAGCGCGACCTGGCAGTACGCGTACTTGTTAAACGCCTTCAAGTGCGTCTCGAGCGCGCCGACGATGCACTCCAAACACGCGTTCACGGTCGTGCGCGACTTGCGGCGCTTGGTCGTGAGGAGGACGAGGCGCAGCGCCGACAACGCGGCCACGATGAGCGATCCCAGGCAAATGGACCCGAACGACGACGTGACCGCGCGCCGCCCCGATCGGAGCACCGCGTTGTGTGTGTCGGGGGAAAACCACCACTCGCCTACCGACGTCGCCAGGTGAGTCCGCGACGAAGATGATGGCGGGCAGACACTCCACCGATCGTGCCGGCCGTCGTGCAGTGCACGATGTTGCGCAGGACTTGGAGCCCCCAGCACAGGCTACATTGCAAAACGTCAAGATGATTTGTCCCATGTCGAAGAAATTTCGTTGAAAAGGAAGCTCCGTTTTGTTGAAATTCGTTGAAAATTCATTGAAAACGAGACAACAAACCATCCAAAGCGACCCAAATGACGAGGAAATTCAACGGTACCTCACAAGCATGACGAATACGGCGACGTTGAGGGTGGAGGTCGACGGCGTGATGTCGACCTTGGACCAGACGCCCACTACGGCGACGGTCCACAGCAGCATCCATGCGACTTGGGCGGCAATTGCGGCGTATGCGACGAGCACCACCTACACAGGGAGTTGCAAGTCATGGCCGAGGAACGTCGCCAAGCAGAGTCGTGCTGACACAACATACCTGAGGGAACCGCTGGAGAATCTTCGCGGCAACAGTCAAGTTGGTTGCTGCAAATGGAATACGGTGGCGCACGCTGAAATAGTACATGGTCACCATCGCGGCCAGGAAGAGGTTGGCAAACCCAATCGCGCGCCCAGCAAGACCTAATGACACGTGCATGGAGGACGAGGGATTCCTTCGACGACGGGACAGAAGATACCTGCTTCGGTAAATCCTGCAATGGACGCCACTAGAAGAGCCCCCGCGGACGCTTGCACTGTCATCGAGATGATACGCGACGCATACAGCTGAAGTACTTGGAGCCACGCTGCCGAGAGAACTGCACTGACGGCCCCCATGGACAACGACACGAGAAAGAAACTCATGCCTTGGGATCGACCGTCATCGTGTCCTGACTTATGCGGTGTAAAGTCAAACTTGGACAGGTTTGGAACGCCCCATGCAACCTACAGCAGCAAGATAGGACGAAGATTCGTGTTTGGGCGACAACACACCGCCAGGTACGTGACTGCGGCGACATTTGCGAGGAAGAGCGCAGCCGGCACTTGATCCTTGCTCTCGAAAGACATGTGGTTGCTTCCAGGGAGGAAAGGCTCGTCCGCCTCGGCTTCATTCCCCATCGCCTTGTACGCATCCATCGTCGCCGTCGTCCCGACAAGTCGCGGAAGAACACTGTATACGCAGATGGATGGAATCGAACTCTCTCATTCGCAGAATTACAGCCAATCCGAAGGCCAAAACTAAATTTCAGCCAATCATCTTCCATAATTGGATCGAAGTCTCGCAACGTAACATTTTTATCCAATGAATGGTTTCTGTTCTCTTTGCCGACGCTTGTTTCGATATAAATACGGATTTTCGTCGTCGTTTGGCAGAATGCAACCGCCGCGCCAGTAGTGGAAGCATCCGGCGAGACTTTGGTAACCCGGTAGATGGCAGCTGTGAGATGCCAGGATGAAGGAGTGGAATTAACACTGTGGACGCAACAGCATCGTTTCGAGATGCATTGTGTCACACTGAGGTTGTGACGACACGAAACGGCCCGAGCAGTTTCACTGGGTTCCTTCACCAACGCCGCACCAGTCCATGGCGGAGGCAGAAGGAAAGCCGCCGCCGCCACGGCGAGCGCTGGCAAACGCAGTCTCAAAGATATCCAAAATCCAGGGATCGTCGACCAAGCTGAATGTAGGAGGGCCACGAATGCAGGCTTCGTTTGGACTCCATGGCGACTTGGATATCGACAAAATCCACGACGAAGTGCACTTTGCGTCGCCATTGCTCAGCGCATCGTCTCGGCTGCCATTGAACTTGGGTGCACCGATCGATCCTCGGACTCAAACCATGAAGGTCATGCCGCTGGTGACGGACCCAGTACCTGTGGACCCCATTTGTCCAAGGTCGGAGGAGAGTGCGCCTCGCATGTCGGACGTGTCCAAGTGGCCCGCGCCGACCACCAAGTCTCCATGGCCCGTGAGCGGTGGAAGCAATCCCCGGAAGAGTATCGTGGATGTGATCAACGCCGTCAATTTGGAGAAGAAGATGGCCAAGAAACTCCACGAAAACGTAACCAAGCGTCGCCGCGCGTCCGAGGCAATGTCAACCGTCGTCAAAACAGGTATTCCATTCCATGGACGACGTGTGGAGCGCATCATGTGTTCGTGCCGCAGCAAAGCGAATGAGCCGGTCGATGACCATGAACCGGCGCAACGGCATTGCCACGATGGACGCAGTCCAGCTCGAAACGGAGCTCAACAACCTCTCGTCCAACTACATTTCAAAACTCGCGCAGGACCACCAAACATGTACCCAGCGCCATCCCTCTCTTTTCGATCGAGAGTGTTTTTACGCACGCATGGCTAGTTGTCATTTCGATTCACTCCCACATCAAGGTGTGGTGGGACGCCGTCTTGGCCATCGTCACACTCTACGCCATCATCATGATCCCCATGGACCTGTGCTTTGACGTTGGGCGGTGCTACGGCTGGGTCCCAGCCCTCCAGGGCGTCGTCGAGATTGTGTTTGCGATCGATATCTTGGTCACGTTTCGCACGTCGTTCCTCGACAGCGCGACCCATGAAGAGGTGGTCGACATCGGGCGCATCCGGCAGCACTACTTGACGTCGTGGTTTTGCATCGATGTCGTCGGGAGCGTCCCTTCCTGCGCCGTTGGCACATCGATTGAGCAGTCCAACGTGGCGTACCTCCGGCTCCTCGTCTTCCTTCGGGTACGTGGCGTGAACAGCCTCGATCGGTCGCACCGCTCGTGGTTGACGTGGCGATGTAGATCCTGCGGCTGTCGACGTCGCCGACCTTTTCCGAGTTCATGTCATGGGCCAGTCGCAAGTTTACGTCGTACTTGATTCGGCTCGTCGTCCTTGTGACGATGTATCTGCTCTTGCACCACTACATTGCGTGCTCGTACTATCTCTTGGTGTTTTGGGAAAGCCACGAGGTGGAGCGGTGGTATGACCATGGCGTGGCGGCGATGGCGTCTGACGAATGTGTGCCGCAGGGCGATTCCGTTTGGGGCCAACGACTCGCTGGACGTCAAGTACGTGAGTTCGTTTTACCGAGGCCTGGCCATTACAAGTGGCAGCGACTTGGGAGCGGTCACGAGCATCGAGCGTGTGTGGAGCACGAGCATGTTTGTGATCGGGATCATTGCAAATGCCTGGTGCGTGGCGAGCTCGTCCTGCTTTTGGTGGGCACTGCATTAATGACGGATGGGGTCTAGTGTCGCGGGGATCTGTGCGAGTGTGCTGGCTCAAATGAACAAAGTGCAAGACGAACAGTCGCACCTGAAGGAAGCCATCCACACCCGGCTGCGAAACTCCAACGCTGGCGAAGACTTGCAGGAGCGTGTGCTGGCGTACTTTGACAGCGCGCACGGGCGGGAAACGGCGCACCATGCTGTGGACTTGTTCAAAGGCATGCCGTCCAAGCTGCACTTTGAGCTGTCGGTCGCGCTGAATCATGCGTTCCTGGACAAAGTCCCGCTCTTTCGAACGCTCGAACCGGAAGGAATCGTGGCGCTGCTTGAATGTGTCGATGAGACGGTTGCGATGACGGGCGATATCATCATTCGCGCGGGGGAAGAGGTACCACGTGCCGTTGTCCGTCAGCACTCGATGACGCGGATCGTCGTTAGGGCCGCGCGTTCTACATGATCAAGATGGGCAGCGTCGAGATATATGACGATTCGAGCGGAAAGCACGTGTCGATCAAGCACATGGAGGCAGGAAATACATTTGGCGAGATGGCGCTGCTGCGGAATGGCGTGGCGTCGGCCAGCGTCGTTGCAACGTCGTTTTGCGTGCTCTTGGTCCTGTACAAGGACATTTTTCAGTGGATCACGCGCGAAAACGACCAGGTCCGGACGTTCTGGGAGCGGTCCCGCGTCAAGCAAATGGAGACATCCGAGCTTGTTGTGCAGGTACGGCTCAAAAACAAACTCCTGCACGTCGCATGCGTGATTTCATGCGCTTGGTTATTCTTCCAGCGTGCCTCCTTGGTTGAGATGGCCAGCGACGTAACGCGGGAAGTTGGCATCGTCCACTACTTGACCAACAAAGTGTTCCCAAAGCGGATGCAGGTGATGCTGCGCAAAGTCCGGATGCGCAAGGCCGCGCGGAAGGTGCTCCTGCTCCAAAAACACCACCGCCTCGCCCACCACGACGACAACGAGCGCGTGCATCGGCCATCGTCTCAACAATTCTCGCAGTTATCTAACGTGAGCACTCGGCACGATGGAGCGACCCAGCCGTCGCCACACATGCTTGGAGAGCCACCGACGATACCATCTCGCCCCGATGTCCCGAACAGCGCGGTGTCGTCGGGGGGTGGCAGCACGGCCAAGAGGTCGCGGTTCAAAATGGCCGCGAAGAAGGTGCGGGCGTCGCCGATGGGCAACGCACATATGCTCGTGTCAATGCTGAAGGGGCGGCAAACGAGCGCGCGGGCGCTCGCCGCCGTCTCCAAGATGTCTCAGATCGCCGCCAAGGACATGGTCGATGCCCAAGCCATCACGAAGGCGAATATTTTATATCGCGCCGACGAATCGTAACACGTGTGCATCGTACCTCACTGAAGCTGTCGAGAACCACGTCATGCTGTTTCGGTGGCAGAGAGCTAGGATGGTCCATGGGGTGGTGTATCGAGATAAGGGGCCTGCAGGCACGCAGGAGCCGAGATCCCTGCGCCGAGCATTTTTTGAGACACGATGGCCTGCCGAGACATGATGGCATTGACGAACGCAACATTGCCCAGGCGATGTCATGTCGAGTGTGGGAGATGCAAGCTGGTATTTCCATGGCATCTCGACTGCGACTAGTGTCGAACATGCGCGCCAGACAACCGACGGGCTCTGGAGTGACATTACGACGGGTGCTTTTGTAGTGGTTTGACATCTGCAAACGAGTGAAGCGCCGCCACTCGTCTCGCTTCCGCGAGGCGCTTGGTCGTGACGTGGGACATGGAGTTGATCGAGTCCATCGCGCCAGCGCTGACGAGCCGCCGGCCCTTGATGGCCAAGAGCATGTTGGCGGCTTGAATTCGCCGCGTTGTCTCGGAGGACCTCCGGCGTCCGGTCGTATTGTGGCTTGTCGTGTTGCTGCGGCGAAGGGTGCTGTAGGCGGCCGACTTGCCGGACGACTTGCTTTGGCTGTAGGATTTGTCGGCGGGGCTCGGTGGTCCAGATAGCGTTATCCTGCGAAGGAGCACGGTGACGCGTCGCCGTCGCTGGGCCACGAGGCGCTTCATGGCTCGGATCGCGTTGCGGACAAGGGTGGCCGTCGCGACGGTGCGCTGCATGTTGTTCAATGCACGCAATGCGATTTTCTCCTGCTCTTCGATCGCGACTTGCTTGCCGCGCTTCGAGTCGAGCAGGCGCTGCTCCCGCGCTTGGATCAAGAACGTTTTGAGCTGGTCGTTTTGCTCGGTCAAGAGCAAAAACAAATCTTTGTACAACACTTGAAACGTGCAAAACGACGTGGCTTCGACGTTAGCCGTCGTGCGCGCCGCGCGGCCGTCGGCGCCTGGCTCGCTGATCAAGCTCATCTCGCCGAAAAAGTCACCCGGCCCGAGGGATTTCAACAGGATGCGCTTGTTGCTGCCTTTGTGAAACACGGCGACGCTGCCGGTCTGAATCAAGTAGAATGCCTGACCCTACCGAGCGAGATCGTGTAAGAGTCTCGGACGAAGCAATGTCGGCGCAACCAACCACTTCGCCGGCGCGGATGATCATGTCGCCGGACAGCGCGACCGACTCTTCCATGCACTGGAGGAGCGTGAGCAGCCCCTCTGGCTCGAGGGTCTGAAAAAACGGCACTTTCCTCAGAAACGATACGTGCAACGACCACTGGAGGTGCAGCCTCATCGGGGCGGGCAAGTCTTTGAGCAACTCTGCAGCATTGTACGCGTCGTCCTCGCCCTTGGGACTGTCATAGTACTCGAGGATGCGGCTCTGGACTGTCGGCTCAATGTGGCAGTTCTTGAGCTTGGCGTGAATAGCTTCCGCGCGCTGGACGCGCTCGTCCTCGACGTGGTAAATTTGCGCAAACACGCCCGCGCACAACCCGACCGTGCTATGGCAGCATGTCAGCCACCCACATGCCCATGTCAGCCGTACCAAGCTTGGATGACGACGCCGACGACGAGGAGGAATCCGCTAAAGAAGATTTCCAGTGTCGTCTTGGGGTTCATCGACTCGCCCGTCGTGACCATGATCGACCCAAAGTACGCGTCCAAGTACTGAATCATGGCGGGGCTCGTCGAGTTGATCGATGTGGTCCTAGCAACGGCGGCAGGCGCGGCATTCGTCAGGTATCCGTGCGAGGGGGTTGGATGGCGCACCACAAGTTGGGCGAGCTGCCTTCGTGAATGGTGACGAGGATGTAGGCGCACGCAATGTAGTGGTGCACGAGGATGTACCCGATGGCCAACGACACCAGCCGGAGGAATCCCCGGTTGATGTGCAGCGTGATCGAGTGCACCATGCGGTGGAGGAGCGGCGTGGCTGCGAGCCGACGAGCCTGGCGATGAAATCGTTAGTTGTTGGGGACGGCGCATGTGCACCGGGTACCCGAAAGATGACGCCGAAGCGGAGGCAGCCAAAGTATCGAGGCACGTGGCCAAAATACGACAGCGGCACGCTCGTGAACCAGTCCGTGCGGAACGCTCCGATCAAGTAGTGCCGAGTGACGAGTCGGCGGTCGAAAACTTCTTCCAGCGAGTTCGCGTCGATGTAGGTTGTGTTGAAGAGCAGGACCGAATCGAGGACAAACAGCGAGTCGACGATGACTTGGATCACCGCGAGGACGGGGTGGTTGTCGCACACGTGGAATGCCAGATCGAGCGGCGCGAGGACGATCGCGTAGGCGGCGATCGCCGCTTGCATGAAGTCCCAGTAGAGCTTCCACGGCGAATGCATCGACACCACAAACGCTAGACGAGGACGATATGGGGAATCGCTTGGACACCAAGGATGGCGGGCCCTACCTCGCTTGCTTTCGACCAACTTGGCCTTGTGCGTCGAGTTCATGTGCGCCAATGCTTCCAAGATCTGGCTTGCGTCAAAGTCATGGCTCAATTTTCTGCCAAACCCGCGAACTACATTGCATGATGCTGGTGAAAGCTGTGACGCGTTTTGTACCTTTGGTCATGGCGCGGGAGACCGTCGGGACAATGACACCGCTAGCGCTGTGCGCAAGTGCGAGCGTCGTCGAGCTGACTTTGCGCAGTCTGGACGTCGAAGAGGTCAATGGAGTCGTGGCGAGGGGTGCGGTGTCGACAGGCGGGACGTTCCAGTCCCCAGGACTGTGGTGCGCATCCGTGTGGAACGATTGTCGCATTCGTGAAATCAAGAGCGTCGGGCCCGTTGGCCGCGAAAGCGACGGTGTCGAGTCGGCAGGGGTGAGTAGGAGCTTGGTGCTTGGTGCCTTGAGTTGCGTTATACTGGTAGATTGCAGAAGCGCGGACGACGGCGCGATCGTGGATTGCATGCGGTCTCTCGGGGCAGCGATGGGCCGATCTACGTGCTCTTCTACTGTCTCAGACCGCTCCATCGTCATGATCACTGAACTACGGCGACGTCTCACGTCAGTTTCAGGCGGTTTCACCCGTGTAACGCAGCCAAGTGAGGTGACTGTACGAAAGCGGACGGATGCGCCACCCCTGTCATGGCGATGGTCGTGTGCCTATGTCGCATCGGCCATCGTTCAAATGCACCACGCACTTCCGCTCGAGAGCAATTGCTCCAGTTGTCAACATGCCCAGCAATTCGGATGCAAGCAAATTACTCGGCCATGTCGAGGCCGGGATTTGACTTGATATTTGTATACGTGGCGCCTGCACGGGTCGGCCACGATTTTGTCGTAAAATGATGCACGTATTTGACATCCCGCATGTCATTTTGTGTTTAGAAGCAAGGAAAAAGAGTTAAAAAAATATCGCACAACTTCAGTTTCCAACAGTCCATACAAATTTCAAGTCTCATTGTAAAGAATTGTATCAAGTGGATATTCGATCAAATGCGTTTAGGTGGTGCGTGGAAATCGGTGTGATGCAGCACATGCTGAAGCCACCTGTGCAATCAAAGGCTGTCGCCTTAGGGGCAGTGGCCATGGAGAATGGCCGTGCGTGCGACGGCGCTGCAAAGGAAAACCATGATGGGAGACGTGTGGAGTCGGCCGAGGAAATCGCGCGAACCGGGCGGGTTGAGTTGAACAAGCCCACGTATAAATATCTTGCAATTGCTCTCGTGGTACACGCGTGACCCGGCGCAGTGTCTTTGCAAGGAGAAAGCCACCACGATGGCGGCGCTTCGAGGGCCTGGTGTGCACCAAAATCCACTACGATTGAATCTTGTGCGATGACATCATGGGGTAAATAATAGCACGATAACGTTATGTCGAATAAATAACTATGGTACTCGTCTTCACAAACGGTCTACTCGGAGAGCTGCGCGATGTGATCGATGGCCGCGACAAAGTTCGTAAAGTAGAATCCGATCTTGCCCGTGAGATCGGTGGGGTCCGTGACCAGCGCGAGCAGTTCCTTGGTCACGAGCGGGTTCAAGAGCAAGCTCGTTAATACGACGTAAATGTGGATGGGCACGAAATCGTCCGCTGATAGCGTGAGGTTCGCGGGCGAGTTGTTGCCCTCGCATTGCGACTCAACCACGGTTTGGTAAACGCCCATCGCGGCATTCATGATGCACTTGAGCTTGTCAATGGGGAGCGTGCACAGGTCCATCGCACCGAGTTCGGACCGCGCGTGGATCCAATCTTCGGCCGAGAATCCGCTCTTCACGCCAAACGCCGTCTGTGGCTTTCGTGCCAACAGTCGTATCTTGCGAACGAGCGCCTCGTCGTCGGAGTCTGGGACGATGGCCCGCAAACACTCGGCAATGTCGTCTTCAAGGGCGACGTACACGTGTGTTTGGATGATCGACGAAGCTTCTCGACGAATGTGCTGAGCAGCCTGCTCGCACACTTCGGGGTCAGCAATTTTGAGCCGGGTTGCGCGAAGGAACTCCACGACATCGGCCGAATCGAGCAGTTGCGCCTTGAGGTCGGCCATGGTCGTTTTGATACAGTCCATCATGGCGTCAGCATTTTCCTTGGAAATGCGAGTTTCTTGGCAGCTTGACTTCTTCGCGAGCAAACTCTTGGATGGGGGCACGTACAATGTAGCCGCTCGCTGAGTGAACTGCTCGATGAAGGCTTCACAAGACGCGGCAACATGAGAGTCGAACGCTGTCGAGATCACGCGTTCGATGTCCGTGGCGGAGGGTTTTTCCGATGCCACCGAGCAGGCACAACACGAGGAGCTCTGCATAAAGGAACTTTTGCGGAGTAGGTACTCAGCAGTCGTGCGCTTCGGCGCGTCTGCGTTGGGACTCAATCCGATGAACGCATGCAACAGGTCAAGGACTTGTTGGCGCTGTGGTCCCAAGGGCCTCGGCTGAACAATCATTGCAGTTTGCCGAATGAACGAATCCATGATAACCATTCGCTGACAAGTGATGGATTTTTGTGACTTGAGTCGAAAGAGTCGCTTCGGTACACGGCACTTGCGGAGCGCACGCAGAGTCCCCCAAAACGGAGTGTTCACGGGGGAAGTTGACAGAGTCTTGACCTGCTTGTACAACGTGTACAATTCCTTGTACGTCTTTTGGATCGTCCAAGTTCCATTCACCTCATCTTCCGCGCGGATGCTGTAAACTAGTTGCCCACTAACAGTAGCCGTTCCGATGACCCGAACGCTCAACGCGGGCGAGTTGAGATATGTGTAGTCCATGGACGCACTGAGGTCCGACAGACACCGCTCTTTGACAGAAAAGGAACCGCAGCTGCATGTTGAGGTGGTGCTACACATCGAGTACGTCTTGGATCGGAGTCGTTCCCGACGGGGGGATGGATGCAGTGGGTTGATCGTGATACAATCCCCTCCGTCCACGTCGTCTTTGACGTGAATTTCGTCGAGAAAAACCTTGCCGGTGATCAGGTCGTCCATCGTATCGGATTCAAGCCACGTTTCTTGGTAGTTCTCATCGGACGACTCGGTCGTGTCCGTCGCATTGCTGTATGTACTCATGCGGTGGTCCATCGAAGCTTCGTCGAAGTCCACCATCTCGACCGACCGCGCCGCCACCGTCGTGACGACTTGCCCCAAAGTCCGGGAATGCTGCCAAGTCGATTCAACAATGCTGCCGTGCCACTCTCGCGGTAGCTTCACTTGCCCCTCGCCTCCGGGCAATAAAATAAAATCCACACATTCCATACAAAAGCCAAGTACCATTTGAATTCTATTGCGCGCGTAAACCAAAAACGGGTGTCACCCCGCCACCCCCGGCTGGGCGTGTCAGGGCGGTTCACGAGAAAGTGACTTGGAATTTGTATGGCCTGGACGCTCCCAGATGGCACTAGTGGCGACAGTAATTGCGGCATGCGCCACTCGCTGCCCTCTGGTCGCGGAAATGTCCCAATGGTTGGAGAAAGAGGTCGATGGTTTTCCAAAATATGGGAATTGCCCAGGTGCGTTTCCTATTTGGGGCAGATTTCAGTAGGCAAGCTGGGAAGTTTCCGCCATGAAGGTGGCTCAACATGGCGGCGGCAAATGGTGGTGGTTTGGACCGTGGCGAGAGGTTGCATGCAGCATGGAGCAGTCAAGTGGCTGTGAAGTGCGGAGCGATACCGCGCCTGATCACGACGTGTGTGACGACTACTCTGCTGTCTCATGACTACGAAGTGTCTTCGAGCGATGAGGGCCACGGAAGAGGGACGTCGAACTCGTCGTCGGTGCGGGTCCAGGTGGACACTGTGTCGACGCGAGTTCGACCAGCTGGAGAAGGCGCAAGAACCATGTGCTGGCGCTCCACCGCTGGACCGCCTGCGAAATGCCGGTGGAAGGGGATGTGAATGGAGAAGGGATCGGCCCTAGGCATCCCTTGGACGTGGAAAGTTGATACATATACTACTACCTACGACCGTCGACTCTGTCTCGCCCGAGAAAGTGCCTATCGCTCGAGGAGCGATCGATCCCCTTCTCACGCCAGTTCTCGATGGAAGGAGACTCGCACGCACCGAAATGCACCGTGGTGTGTTTACAAACCTGGCGCTTCTGCCGTCAAACGTCCACGCGGCCCTTCTACATATACACACCGCCTCGATCGGCAGCATGTACACGCTGTACGAACGCATCGCCGAGATGTAAAGGTGCTGAGTGTCCACAAGCATGCCGAGAACGTCTGGACTGTGCAGCATGCCACGTGCAACGCCAGCGCGCTACAGTCCCGCCTTCGAGCGCACTGACGTGAACCGTTGCGTTGTCGCTGTTGGGTCAAGTTGGCGATTGCGTAAATTTGGAAAAAGCTGAAAAAAGTGCCGAAACGCCTCGAGAATCGCATGAAACGAGCCGCGTCCTAATGAGTCTTGACCATGCGAATGATGTCAAAACAGCACGCTCGCTTCGTTGTGGAGATGACCAGAGAATTCTCGCAACGCTTGCCCGGCCACGAATGCCGGCCCAGGTCGCCGCAAGACAACCCGCCGCCTCAAACTCCAACATGCAGTACAGAGTAGCAAACGACATTCAGGTCGGCGGCAGACGTGGGAATTTGACTTCGGGTGATTTTTTATGTGTCGGCAACATCATCCCATGGCGCCACACGAGGAAGGCGTTCGAGGCAGCTCCCCAGAAAAGCCCACCACAACCGGTACCACACTCTACAGCGTCTGTGCGGTCGCCCTCCTTTGTTCAACAACTTCCCCGTGTGGAATCGAGTCCGGCGGCAGTTCGAATCCAGGAGTCGACTGTTTCCATTTTGGATCGTGGCGCACAAAGATCCGTTCGGGTCGCGCCAGGTCCCGTCACGGGAGGTGTGAGTTCCCTCGCTTAACTCGAAAAACCATGTAAACAACCCACGGACATGCAACGTCACAAGGCATCCACGTTCTGGGCACGGCTTCAAGACGTTTCTTTGCACTTCTTGCGTCGTGCACAAGGCGTGGCGGGCACTTGCGGCTGAAGTATGCGGCCGGCATCGTTCCTGAACGGGCAGGTCGCCGTCATGAAGACGAAATCGTGGTCTCTGAGGGATATATATGGGGAGACTGCATCACCACTCAGGCGCTCGTGGGTCTTGCCCCCGTTGGAATGCGGAAACGACTTCAGTACTTGTGTACTCATCAAATAACATGGATCTGAAAAGCGATCGAGAGGCATGGAGATGTGAGGTATTCCCAAGGAGGAATCGATCGACTTCGAGCACGTTCCCATACCTCTCAATACTCTCCTGCATCTACAGCGTGTCGTCAACTTGGATTTGCGACACCATGACACTCTCATCATTGTGGTCTTGTTGTCCTTGAGAACGTATGAGGTCGCTCTAACGCTATCGTCTAACACGGGCACTTTGAGGCACAAAGTACGGCGTCGCCGGGGCCGCGTAAGTGGCTGGCACTTGGCGGTTGCGTCCGTTGTGATGCGAGCTGCCAGCGTACCTGCTTCTTGTCTGGACGCGGGCAACCACTCGCCGAGTCATGACCCTCGCCTGGTGGTCGCTCGACAACTCGTAAGGAAACTTGCATGCGCATACAAAACTCAAGTCATTTCATCGGTCTCGACATGTCTCCGGGCGGCGAATTACACATACACTGCCATCTCTTTTTAATAAAATCCCTCCAAATATAATAACGTTATTGTCATTTTCAATGAAATTTGGACTTCGGAGTCGATTTGCTGACTCGACTTGCCTCCAAAAATAATAAAATAAGTATACCATACAGAACTGAATACTATTGATAGTTGTGATGTGCCGTTGAGAGTAGGCTCGTCGGGGGACACAGACCAGACCCGTGGGTCGGACTCATGATTTGCCAAAGACACAATGTTCGGACGTGCAAACAAGAAGATCCGTTCCTAGATCGCCTCCCAAGACGCTCGCTCGAATACGGCTGGAGTCGCTTTCCATGGTGGTCTCGACCATAGACGGTCTTCGTGGCAGGTTGCTCTGTCGAAGCTGGTGGTGGTGACTGGGAAGACCGTGTGTTGTATCGGTGACTCAGTGGAGTGCTTTGTGTGAGCTCCATCGCCGTATTAGACAGCGCAGTAGTTGTATTTGATTGGTTAAGGCGATTCTCAATTCGATTTACCAAGTCGATTCGACTGGGAGCTCCAAATTTGAATCGATTTGCCAATAACGAGATTCCGAAGTTATTACGTGGCTTTCGGACACGTCATTTTGAAAAACAACAAAACCTTTGACGTGCATTTACAAACCTAGTGTGGAATGGACCTTGTTTCGTAACAAACATCGACGTGCTCGAGAGGAATGTCATGTCGGGCTCGTCCACGCAGCCCAGACCGAGCGCAATGGTTAACACGAAATGCTTTCGATGGCCCCATACCATTCCAGACAACCACCAGTGCGCAGCAATAATCGAGGAATCGAATGTAGACCAAGTGGTCGCTTTAGTTATTTTCAATAGCCAGGACGTTGTACAAGAAAACGTCGATGCCGCAGCATGGCGCTTTTTCGTCGTGTTTCGTGTGCCGGATGACTTCAAACGACACAGCCGATCGCCGCCACCAGCTCGTGGGATGCCGAGAGATACGTTCGATGGATCGATTGAACAGGGTGGAGCATCACCGCTGTCCAAGAGCCTTCTGTCCAAGATACATTGCAAGCTTTGGCAGATGTTGGGGAGCGCCGAAACGATGCATATCAAGAAATCTTCAACACTTGAGCGTGTGCAAGAATGTGGCATATGGGGAGCGCCGAAACGATGCATATCAAGAAATCTTCAACACTTGAGCGTGTGCAAGAATGTGGCATATGGGGAGCGCCGAAACGATGCATATCAAGAAATCTTCAACACTTGA